CTTCAATAATTGATTAATCTGATTGTTTCATCTCTAATTTCTATAAACATCCAGGTTCTGATCTATCAGCTCTACTCTGCCTCCTGATTGGTCGGTTTCTCTGCATAAAACCTTCAGCCAATCAGAACCATGAACGTAGCACGGCGGCTGCCACCGTGTTATCGGTGAGGTTCTGGTCCCATCTGACAGAACCGAACCTAAAACCCAAAGCTTAAGGTCGCTCTAGACCCAAACAGCCCTCAGTTTAAACTGCAGTAACCGAACCTCCGAACCGCACCGACGGTTCTGATCCAACCCCCAGTTTACGGTCATATAACGCCCAATTTAACTCCATCTACCCTCCGGCTGGTAGCCGAACCGCAGCCCGGTTCTGGTTCTGTCAGATAATCACATTAAATTAAATCTGTACCGCTTTTTTCTGCAGTTAAAGATAAAATCCTCCTAAAATGTAAAGTTTTCGGGGGGAGTCTGGCTCACTTCCTCTTGTAAACAGAGGTTAGCTGACAGGTGTTAGCCTCTGACTATATGCGGACAGCTTTCCGGCCCACTTCCGGTTCGGTCCAATATAAAGACACTGAATAAGTCGAACCAGAACCCACCGAGGTCTTCTGGACGTGTCCCCGCTGCGTGATGGTCTTGCTGTGCCGCTCGTTGGCCACCTTCATCCGCTGGATCGCAGACATCTTCCTGCTGTAGCTACCGGGCCAGAGGAACCAGAAGAAAACTGGGTCGGAACCGGGTCAGGAGGTGCAGCGGGGGGAGGCTGAAGGCTGAGCTTGGAGGAGTTTCTGTCCCAGAGGAGCAGAGTCTGGCTGGGTTGGCTTTCTGCCGCTCCGCAGGCAACCTCCGAGGAGACGATGCTAGCTGCTAGCTGCTAACTGAACACTGAGGCGGAACTGACAGGGTCACGTGACCTGAGATAGAACCCTTCATATCCCCTCTACTGCCCCCTGGTGGCTGGAAAAATAGTATTTAGATTTGGTACTTCAGACTTAAAGTTTATGATTTATTGAAAAAAGTTTGTTTAATGTGTTTGTTTAATGTGAGATGATGAAAGATGAGACTCCTGCCTTCTCCTGATTCACTTTAACTTTTCTAACTTTTATTATGGGAAATAAAAATCAGGATCCAGCCACGATCCAGCACTACAATGGTGGTATCGGTATCGGCGAGTACAAATAAAAAAGGCACCGATACCATTTTGAGAGCCAAAAGTTTCTTCCACTATTGTCACCCATTCCAGGTTGGCAATAAAAAGTTCATCTGGATTCACTTTGTATTATTTTTTTTCCTGCTTCACAAAAGAAGGCATCCCAGTTGTCTGCAGTTCTTCATATATACACACACATCAGTTTCAAACAGATGGTATCGGTATCGGTCGATACTGCACAGCCAGGTATCGGGTCCAAAAATCCTATCGGCACAGCACTAGTTACTATACCTCAATATTACAGGTAGAATTGGTCACATGGTCTGATGATGATAAGGGTTTAACACAATGAACATATTTTTATTTTGCATAAAGATGAACAGTAGCCTGTTAGCAGCTGTGGCAGCATCATGAAGGCTCCACATGTTGCTAAAGGAGGGGCTGGTGGTTTCAAAGGATATTATGAACATCATCCAGGAAGCCTGGATGCAGATGTGTCCTCCTGGACAATGTCCCAGCATACTACCAAACTGGAGAATAAATGGCTGAAGGAAAACAAGGTCAATATACTGGAAACATTATGACAGCATCCTGATCTCAGGGCTGAAAGGATGAGTGTTAGCAATACAGTCTGCAGACCCGACCCAGAGGTTCTGTGGAAGAAAACACAACTAACAATGGTCTACGAAGTACCGAACGTAGACGTTTAAAAACTATCTCTGCATAAATGCTAATGGATCAAGAACAGAACCAGGCAGAGACCTGGAAACAAATTCAGGTGGTTTAAGCTGATTGATTAAATGAAGCAGCCAGACAAGCAGAGATTTGGTTCTGTTTAATGCAGCAAGAGCTTTGTCAGCACAGAAACACACCTGACCTGTGGGTCAGAAACACACCTGACCTGTGGGTCAGACACATACCTGCATGTCACACACACACACCTGCGTGTCACACACACACTTGCAGGTCAGAAATACACCTGTAGGTCAGACACACACCTGCAGGTCACAAACACCTGCATGTCACACACACACCTGCAGGTCAGACACACACCTGCGTGTCACACACACACCTGCAGGTCAGACACACACCTGCGTGTCACACACACACCTGTGGGTGAAAGGTCATCAGGAAGGTGACCACCACAGTCTTCATCACTACAACATCTGTCTGCGTCTGGGTTAGTAACATCCAACATGAAGTCTCCACCTGGTGGACCTGGAGGTCTTAGAGGTCAGAGGTCATGCAGGTCCTCTTCAGATCATATTAGAAAGCAGAAACAGCCTCAGTCCGGTACTGTAACCGTGGTAACCATCTAGGTATCTAGCAGCCCAGGCCGCTGATGGAGCCGATGCGGTCCAGCTTCATCCCGAAGCATCCTCTTCCTCCCACCATGGACTTACGGCTCCACCTCCTCGTCTTCACCTGCTGCCGCAGGAAGTCCAGGAAGAACTGATGGAGCACTTCCTGTCTGCGGGCCAACCCGCTGCCGTTACCTTGGTGACTGAGAATCAGCCCCTTGGAATGAGAGCGGGTTGGTGGGGAAGCAGAGCCCTCTGTGATGTCATCAGGGGTGGGCGTGGCCTCCATGAGAGAGGTGAGGCGGGAGCCGAAGAGAGACCTGGACACCTGGAGAAATGAGCAGTTAAACAAACAGGTCACATGACCAGGAACGACCAATCTGGAAGACCCAGGAAGAGACTCAATGATGTAAAGAAATGAAGCAGGGAGGATGATGAGCACCTGTCTGTCATCTTTATAAGGAGAAGGCCTCATTTCCACGGAAACCGAGAGGAGGAGCAGGAGGATGATGGGAACAGAAGAGGCAGCCATCTTTATTTGTAGAAGACAAAAAATAATTAAATTTTAAAACCTGAAATAAATTAAGAAAAAGGAGATATTTCAGGTTTTTATCAAAAGCAAGAAAATAAATTAAACATTTAGCGTCTCACTATTCTATTCTGAGTGGAAGTCCATTAAGTTAGTTAATAAATAGAGCCATGAATGGTTCCTTATCCTGCTGCTGGATAATGGGATTCTGGATAAGACTGTAAGAGAAGTTATAGTCTTTGGACCAGAGTCTCTGAAAAAGAAGCTGATTAGTCAGTCACTTCATTTGGAT